TCGCGTATAAGTATTCGGTCTTCTCGTTTACTGGTTAGACGCTTTCTTCCAGATTTCGTGGGATTTCGTCTCCACAAATCACCTGATGGCACATTGGACCGCGCACTGTGAACATCCCACCAAATTGGCAATCTCAACCTGAGACTCACCTTCTTCACTTAGAACTATCATCCTAACTAATTTCACTTTTTTAGGCATTTCGGTAAATATGAACTCTATTTGAAAGATTTTCACTAAATGTAATTTACACTCTCACTTTCAAATTTTAAATGCGAAAATATTTTATGAATTTCTTGAAAATCACAATTTTTAGGTTTACTTTTCCCAGAGAACTAAAGCTAATAAAAAATTATTCGTTCATGTTTAACAACAGTATAAAGTCGTAAAATAAACGCGTTGGAGATTACATTTAAGTAAAGTAAATTGTGAAAGCATATGCAAGTGATTGTAACTAGTAAAGTGCATTGTAATTGAATTGTGAATTACTAAGTAAATAAAGGACATTAGATAAATTCTATATAACGAAAGAAACTGCAAATTAAGTTGGCGATTTTTTATTTAACAATCCAGAGATCGTACCCGAAGGATTCAGAAAATTATCGAGGTTGATTCAGCAAAATCGTAACAATTGGTGTCAGAAGTGGAATTGTTAAATAAGTCCTAAAGGATAATATATGCAAAATGGTAAATATTCAGGATTTGACGAGACCTCCTCTCAAAAGGGAGTTGGCAAAGCGAGGATTATTGACAACTGGAAATAAGGCAGAGCTGCAATCGACTTGAACCAGTGCGGTTTCCATCGCGAGGATGAAGATGTATCCTTGAAAAAAATTGACAAGGAAGAGGTTGATGACTCTGTGAAGGAGTTGGAATCACCATCAAGTAAGATTCAAGAAAAGGCTCCTGGCTCATCTAAGGGTATTGACATGAACATGTTATTGACTAAAATTTCACAAAAGGTTGGATGCACGGGACACAAAAATTAACGCCAGCACCTCACAAAATATGTCTGAAATGAAAGCCAGCATTATATCACAAATGGTTGAACGGAGGGAGAAGATATCATCCTTGGAAGGAGCAATAGCGCAAATACAGCAAAATCTGGGGAGAAGCAATGCGGAACTTAAGGAAAGGCAGGATCTAATTGAGACCAAAGTCAACGCATTGGAAAGTCGTTTCCGGGAATTGCAGCTAAATCGTCCAATCGCTTCAGTGAACGCTCCGAAGGTAAAAACACCATCTTTTGAAGGGAAATCCCATTTCAAGTCTTTAAGCTTCAATTTGAGAAGACAGCTGAAACAAACAACTGGAGCATAGAGGACAAATCCGCTACACTATCCGTTGTGTTGGAAACCATATCCGTAAACGGGAGAAATGGTTACGACGGATTGATGCGAGCCCTGGAAAGACGCTATGGTAGCGAACACAGAAGACAGATTTACCAGATGGAGTTGAAAAAGCGCGACCAAAAATCCAACGAATCTCTGCAGGAATATGCTTCGGAAGTTGAGAGATATGCTCATTTAGCCATTGGAGACACATCGGGTGAGCATCTTGAAAGGGTGAAGATACAAAGGTTCATCAGCGGAATAAAAGACGTGTACACCAAGCGAGAGACATATGCGAATCCAAAGTTGACATTCGCTGAAACTGTTGCGTATGCACAAACACGTGAAATGGCGGTACTCCTAAGCAGGCCATCATACAAAGTCAATAAAGTGGAAGTTGAAACACCAGATGTGATAACAGAAATACTGAGAACTCTGAAATCGCTAGAAGGGATAAATCGTTCTGGTTTCAAAACCTAAGCGTGAAAGTGCTTTAAATGTGGAAAGCCTGGTCACTTCGCACGCGAATGCAAAACACCTTCCAGCAGACAGGAGGTACATAGCGTAAGCTGGCTCCTGCAATTGAATGCCTCACAATTTCCATATCGCGAATTGGCAGAAAACTGAGCGAACATTACTATTAATGGATATGTCGATAAACGAGAGCGAATACTAACAGTGGATACAGGCGCATCACACTCCATTATTCGAACTGATCTGATCGCTAAAGAAGTGAGACCATTACCTGGAGCAGTATTGAAAACGGCGACTGGTGAGGATAGTCAAGTGGTGGAGGAAGTAACGTGTTAGGTCACAGTAGGTAATGTGTCGGTGCTACACAGCTTTATTGTCGCGCAGATTGTAGATGAGGTAATCATAGGAGTGGACTTCTTGATGGATCAAGGTATCAAGATCGATCGCTAAACCCCCACCGTGGTCTCGCTCGCGATCCTTGCGGATTATGTTGTATCCGGCCCGGCTCAGAAGATCTGATCGGGCGGTCAACTTGGTTTCCTGGATCGCAGCAATTGACAGGCGCTCCCGGCTCATGCGATTTAAAATTGGAAATAACTGGCGATGTGAGGAGAATTGGGAAGGTAACGTCTACCGATCTCGAGGAAGAGCTAAGAGAGGTACATGCTTTTTTGAGACAGTGAACTCAAATTATGAGTGACAAAATGAAGGCCAGGTATGACAAGGCGATGAACTCCAAAATGGAGATTTGGTGTTGCTGTACAATCCACAACGGAAGAGGGGGTTGTCTCCAAAACTTCAATGTAATTGAGTAGGTCCATACAAGATAATCAAACGACTAAAAGAAGTAGTGTATCGAATCCAAAACGTTGGGAGGCCAAGAAACAAAATGAAAGTGGTCCACCTTGAGAGGCTTGCTGAGTATGAAACAGGGAATGTGTCTGATCGGGACGATCAGACTTAGGTGGAGGGCAGTGTTGCGAAAATGTGAGGCGAATGTCAGACGAAAGAGAGAAGCCGATAACTAGTACATTCTAGAACGATAAAACGAGAACCTTCGATATCGAACAACTAGATTATTCTACACTTTCGTCTACGAGAAGCCGACTGCTATATAAGGGCGACACTCAGCTGCCAAGAAGTCAGTTACAAAGTGAACTCGTTGGCGACACCATCAGTTTAGAGTCGTAAAGTAAACGCGTTGGAGATTACATTTAAGTTAAGTAAGATGTGAAAGTAACTATTATTGAATTGTAAATTGAGTTGGCGATATTTTCAGCAAAATCGTAACAATATATGTACATACGAAGGGGTTTACAAAACTTCAGTGAGTCGACCAGAAAAAATTAAAAATTCGTTTTGTATTCATTCGTAATCTTTTTCCTTTTTTTTTATCATCTCTACTTAATCGCCATTGATTTCAATGGGTTTCTCAAACCTATAGATCCACCTCAGAAAACATTATTTAAAGTCTTGTTTTTAAGCTTAAGTTCAGCATTAATCCCATTAATTATCTTCTAGTTGGTATTAAATACCTTTCCTATTAAATTTTGTGAATAACCAGGAATCACAAGATGCTTTATCCGAAGAATATAATGGTGGACTCTATATTTCATTAGTGTGGAATGGCGCGTTTTGATAATGTAAAAAGTTTTACAACAAATTTTTGAAAACTTTTGGTAAACACTTTTGGTGTACCATTTGCTGGCCATTTTCTAGAGGAATAGCAGCAACGATTTTAGATTGGGTGAAGTAAACTGGCATCATTACTTTTGTTGCTTAGATTTTCCGGGTGGATTTTTCCTGTTGGGCATCATACCATGGACTGCTGTTTGGTTTCTGTATCGTATTTACAGAACCAAGATTCGTCACCAGCGACGACTTTACTAAAGTTTGCAAGACTGACCATTTTCGAATTTGTATAGGAGAACTTGAGCAAAAAGCACTCCAGCATCTTTTTGGGCCTCATTTAAAATTCGTGGTACCCATCGAACTTTGGGCTTTACCAAAGCTACAGTGAAAGATTTTGGTCAACCTTCTCGGGGCTCGTCATCTACGGAAAAATGTACGGTCTGGAGTCTTCGGAACCACTTAGAAATAGTCTTTAAAGACGGTGAAATCGTTCCATATGCAGTTTGGCGTTCACGGAATATTTGTATTGGCTGTAAATCACGCCAAAACCTGAAGAGCATTATGTGACGAATATCTGTTTCCGATGGTGATGGAATTTCGTCTGACTTATTCTCAGCTATGTTGCGTTTTCTCGTCTCCATTTTGACCGATTGGTCTATAATTTGAAGGAACACTAATAAAGTCATTGCAAGGGATTTGGTATTTTAAGATTTAAGGAAAATAAATAAGAGCTACCAGCTGAGGGAACTCCTCTCACACGGACAAAAATGTTCATCATCACGCCGTCCTACCCTTTAAAGATACGTTAGCTCAGAATCAAATATAAACATCAAATTTGAGATTATATAGAATCCATTTTTTTCTTTAAAAGTCCATGTGTCCCATTTCATGTGGACAAATCATTCGTCGCTAGAGGTTTATACATAATTGGCGCTTTGTAACTGCTGAAGCTATTTTTGGATGAGCTCCTCCTCCAATTTGTGGTTTTGCGTTTCAATGTTTTTCTAACAGTTTATACTAAGCCGCCTCAAAACGGCTTATGGTTTTTTTTTATGAGGAGCTGTTATTTCATGTCATAAATACACTCCTAGGCGTTGACATTCCCTGCCGGGGGTGAGCGCAATTAGAAAATTAAACTCAATTTCTTATTTTTAAATTAGTTTTCTATAACTATTTGAATGTTAGTACGCCACAGGATTTGAGCCTGAGTCTTCCGAATAGCGGTACGCAATGCTAACCACTCGGCTACCGCGGCCGTCGCTATAGTATAGGGTATTTAAAATTTAAACTAAGTTAATCATATGACAGCCCGGACTTCGGTTTTTAGATAAAAAATCTTAAACTGATTCTCAGTCAGCGTTTTCCAGACGTGAAAAAAGAAAGGTAGTAAAAATTATCAAGAGAACCGAAAACACCATCAACTGAGATCGTAGCAATATTAAATGAGGTACCGTTAAACACCCACGTACTATATATACATTATATATTATATGTAGTGTAAGTTCATTTACAATAACTGAGCTACGGTAGAATAATTATAATTATAATACAAAGTGAACACTAAAGTTTTTTTTACTTCTATGTTTATAACAAAACTGTACTTTCGAATTCTTTTATTGACTTTTCCTGATACTAAATACATACAGAAGATTTATTTACCACTAGTTTTATAACAAAACTATACTTTTCAAATCTTTTATTGATCATCATACTAAATTCACATAGAAGATATTTGTTACCTTAATTAACGCCAGGCATACAAACAAAATGGTTCAAAATAACATGTGTCCTAACATACGCACAATTTTTGAAATATTTTGCCATGTTATTGTTGACATTAATTGTGCACTGTTGAGGAATGTTGCATATTTCTTTCGAATTCTTCTAGACTTAACGCTTGATTCATATTTAGAAGTGGAAGTTTTCCAGCTGACGCTTGTGCTAATAATTCGGGAGAAAACCACTGTGCCAATTGATTACTAGTTGGAGATAACCCACCGTCGCGTTGATAGTTTATAATGCTTACTGCAGCGGCAGCAGCAGCCACAGCTTTATTAGTCACATTAGTATTATCGCTTGTCATTGGTGATTGTATACAAACTAAAAGAAAAATGTATGTACATTGTATAAGCCGTCTTAAAATGTTTAAATCAGTCTACCGTATACGAGTTATTCTAATATTAACACAATATTTAAACACAAGCATGTAAATATGTTCAAAACATTTCAGTTTCAAAATTGTAAAGTAGAAAGCTTACTATTACGATTGAGTGCATCTATTGATGGGTGTTGTTGATGCTGCAATTGTTGCTGGAGGTGATATTGTTGTTGTTGATGTCTTTGCAGGGCTAAAACACGTTGTTGCTGATATAATTGTTGTTGATGTACTTGCGAAATGATGGTAGTGTGACCTGATGCTTGTTGTGAATGCTGATGGAATGGTGATGTCGGCTGATTTAAGACATGCTGTGAACTCTGAGTTGCTTTCATCCGCTGTTGCTGTTGAATTTGCTGAAAATCTAATTTATTAAACATTATTTGAGAGATCTGTGACATTTGTTGCTGCGGTGGATTCTGTTGGCTGCTGGTTTGCGGAGGAAATGTGCCTTTTAATATAGGCCTTCCTATATAATTATAAAATGTAATTGTGTACAAAGGTTTTAAATCAATCGGCATAAATGCAGATATTTGACGTAATGTATATTTACCCATCGGTTTGGTAGAAGGCATATTTTGAGTTACTAGGTGTATCGGCCATTTCATTGGTCCTATGGAGTTACGCATTGCCTGCATAGGGTGCTGTTGAGGCGCCTGAGTCAAAGACTGATTGCTGGAACTCATTTGTTGAAGCTGCTGTGAATGGTTGCCACCAAGTATCATTCGTGGTTGGGTAGTAATAGGCTGCTGTGTATTTTGTTGGTTTGTTTGAAAATTCGTATATGCATTTTGGGTAACCGCTTTATTTTGCTGTTGTATTACTACATTATCTTTCTCAGCCGTCATTTTGCGAAGCACCGATGTTGGTGTAAAAGCCAAAGGTGTTGGGGAATTTATGTGGCGCTGTTGCTGGTGTATGGTATGCGAAATATGCTGCTGCGAAGGTTGTTGCATGTTGTTGGAAAGAAGAATACTTTTTTGTTGAATATCCGATTCACTATGCCCTAACAGTATATGGTTAGACTGTGATTGCTTTTGTATTTCTTGTCGTCTTTTGTGTGAATCTGGTTGCAACTGTTGCTCTTCAATTTTTTTCTCCATCCTTGAACTTTGCTTTATTGTATGTGCGTGAAAATTTAAATCTCGTTGCTCGGAATGACGAGGTGATTTGAGGACACGTTTTGGTAAAGCAAAGCTTGGGCGGTTTGTTCTTAAAATATTTCTTTGGCATTTGGAATTTGTGTTAATAGCTGTTGTTGAGGAAACTGCTCGCTCGATTTGTTGGGCCTGAATTTTGGTTGAGCTTTCCACTGCTGTTGCATATGGGTATTGGAGAGTGCTGTTGCTGATGTCCAGTTGGTCCAGATTTTGAATTTTGTTGATTGTGCGATATATTGGAGTAATCACTCAAAACCGATGCAATAGCTTCTTTGGCTTGTAGCGACGTATTCGGATTACTCAATTCTTGTTCCAAGAAACGTATTGATATTTCACCACGTTGGATATGTTGATAGAGATTTTGTGTCTCCAACCGTTTTTCAGAATGATTTCCGAACATTGGTAATTGTATGGGCTGGGAATGCGAAATACTGGCAACGTCAGTGTTATTTGTGAGCTGCTGACGTAAGACCTGTGGATTTATTATCTTATTTAGTTCTTCATTTTTCAAAAGCAATTGCTGTGGACGTGGGGTGGACGGTAGGATTGTTACAGGGTGCACAATATTTAAAGGAGGAATGGGAGCGGAGCGATTTTGCTCAGATACCAAAACATTCATTTGCATATTAGGAGGTACATGCTGTTGAAGTTGTTTATGCTGCTGCTGTATTTGTTTATTTTCAGATCCCAATTGTTCTAACAACTTCTTAAACGCTTCAACTTCACCTGCTTTAGGCTGTCCAGTAGTCAACTGATCGTTATTAATAGGCAGAATTAGTTCAAGTGCCCTCTCCTCGTCCTCTTTTCTCTTTATATCTAGACAAACCTTTTCTGTTCCGGAGGAAATTTCGTTCACAACGTTTACTTCACGCATGCGTGCTTCTAGTTCCCCTACACTAGTTATTGCTGTAACTGCAAAAAATTAATAGATCAAAAATATTAGTATAACATAAATATACATACCTTTCTGACTTATTCCAGAATCCTGCAAGTGTGGCAGTTTGTTAAGAAATTCCATTAGAGTATTAGTTTCATTTTCACTCTCACCGAATCCAGGTAGAAGTGTTGTGTTGTTTCCTACGTTGTTACTTCCTGTCGATATTTGTGTGTCATTAACTACAACTTTATTTCCGAACCACCGACTAAATCGAGATGTTCCTATAGCTTCGCACACAGAATTATTTCCTAGCTAAAAAATAATATATATAAACAACCCATAATATATTATATAATGACAATTTCAGTCGTACTGACCATAAGAGTATGTGTAAGAGGATCGAGGTTAGGATTTAAAAACACATCAAAATTAAACTCAATTTCTCTTGCATTTATTTTTGTATTATTTCGATTTTCTGATGTTCCCTCTTTCTCTAAAAAATCTTCCAAGGTTGAATCAATAGTTGATTTGTTTCTTGTAAGTTTTAAGCAATTTGTATTCCCGTTATTATCACCTGTTCCGTTTAATTTGTTTTTCTCCTCTTCATTAGCGACATCTTCAGATTCATTTTTAATGCAAAGTAAATTGGTTGGAGATTTGTTTGCACAATGAATCCTTTCTCTTTCTTGTTCTAACGACTCTTGAAGTTCTTCTCGTGATTTCGATTTAGATAAATTCAATATGCTGTCCGCAAGTGATGAAGAATTTTCGCTTACTTTTCGGGATGATGCAAAATTTGCTCGTTTGACGGGTCCATTGACTGCAATAGCATTACTTTTATAATGATCATCAATTTCTTCGAATCCGCGCAACTCGATTGTATCGTGCTGTGACGTTGGACCACTACTAAACCATTCAGGTTCTTCGTTTCTATCGTTATAATGATGATTGCGCCTATTACGATTGTGATTAGTATGCTGGCTTAAAGATGCATCTGCCCCATAAAAATCTCTCTTTGTACTGCTGCCATGAAAACTAGGTGAGTGAGTATTATCCATGTATTCATATTTCTCTCGAAAATTTTCATCACCACTTCTGCGCTCCAAATGACGTCGATCTATGTATTCGTTGCCACCCGCAATTCTGTCATACTGCCGATCTGAATACCGCACACCACTTCGAAACTGAATTAAAGAATTGGATCCCACTATTTCTTTCTCTGCTGTTGAAACATTGCTCATGTTTTGAGTTTTGTCTCTGTCTTGCGTAGTATGAAAATCCCAGTTAACGTCCCGTGGTAGTAATCGTCCGCTACCGATGCGTCGTTCATTCGAAACTCCACTTTGTCTGGAAGAGCCTAATGTTACAGGAGAGGATAACCTACCATTATTTGACTGTAGCTCCATATCTCGGTCTCGATCATACTCTGTTAGTGGGAAATAAAGTTTTTAAATGCTTTTCTTTAATCTACATACAACTAGGTGTTGTAAAAAAACAACTTGCACGAGATTTAAAGATTTGACTATGAACTTATTTTTCTTAATAATGCCCAACTGAGACCGGTAAGATTTGAAATTGGTAAAAAAAAAAAAACAGATTGTTCTAGACGACGTAGTGGCATAGTAATTTATTGATAGAAGTACTAAGTAAACTAAAGCCCTGGTTTGTTTGTATGAATTGCATATTTTGTTATACAACAAAGAAGAATGGTAGAAGTGACAGCTCTCACCTATATAGCATGCCCGCATAAACAATTACAGTCATTTATTATTTTCGCAATAAATAGCTTTACCGACCTGTATCTCGCGTTCTGTAAATAAAAAACATACTGGTCATTTCTTAGTCAGTAATTTTTCTGCAATTGATTCTACAATTCGATAAAGATGAAAACGCAAGTCAGGAAAAAATTCAACTCCTAGAGTCTGACCGTCAGGCGAGTACTGTTTCCATTTCACAGGACCTAAGAATTGCACTAAACAGTTTAGAACCACTTAAAAAGGCTGGTTGCTCAAAGAAGCTCCATGTATTGGTGCTAAATGAATTAGTGAGAAAATACTTCGTGGAGCGAATTTCCAATCGCTGCTGAATGGTCACAAAATAATGGGTTATTTCTGAAGAGGATAGTGGCTGATTACCAACGTCAATCGGAAACGGTTAGGAGATTGTCAAGCAATCATCCCCTCCAATCTCTTAATTCAGACCTGTACTGTTGGCAGTACCGTCTAAAAGAAGCGATCGCCCAGAAACGCGATATACAATAGCAAATAAAGTATATAATTTATTATTATATAAAATGCATGACCATTTTAAGGGGGAAAATCCCAGAAGGAAAGTTAGCATAACTATTTCAATTCAAATATGAATAAAATTGACGCATTTTTTTTAAATTTGTATAAGCGCTCATTTCTATATAAACATAATTTTTTCAATCTAATAAAAGTTGCAATTACAAAAGATTCATTTGATTGAAAGTTAACTTGGAATCACGTGAGGAAACTAATTTACGCGATTTGCGATTTCGGTTAAGGATATTAATATTTTCCAACACATACCCGATAAATATTATTTCTTTTACAGCATTTGTTTTTTTTTTCTGAACACATATTTTAATGATATGATGTGTTCAAAAACAAAATAAAAGGTGGATTGCATTACTTACCATGTTTTTTTTTTTGAGGGGATAAATATGTGTTGTGGACATCACTACTGTTTCCGCGATGAGGATAATCGTATAATTGGCCTTGAGTGCGCTGCCGTACGTGACCGTTACTTGCGATACTGATACCATTTAAATTCAAAACATCTTTAATGTCCGTTGGCGTTTGGGAGCGTGAATTAGAATCATAACATAAATTTCCACTACCAGGTAAATTTTGAAAACCAACTCCTGTTACGTTATTTGTTGATGCTGCTAAACGTCTTTTCGCAAATGCGGGCATGAGATGGGATGAAGAAATGCTGCGATGGTCTATGAAGTTTTTATTTAGATTGTGATGGGGTAAATTGTGTTGCAAAGATGAATTTGAAACACTAACAGCATTGAGATCCCGTCGTGAAGGAGATCGTTGAGATCGCACACTTGAGTGTGTAGACATTTGCATTGAATGGCTTGCGCCACAGGTACTGTTAGATATACCATTTCCTTCCCTGCTTGTATTGACACTATTTTGATGTGCGTTGCCCCCATTATTAAATTTCCATATTCCGAGGGATTGCAGTCCAGCTCGTATACCAGACTCAGGACGACGTCGAGATTGTAATCCATTACGGAGATCGAAAAGATTTAATCTACTATATCGTTTAATATCATCACAATTATATGCTGTTGAATTCGGCTTTTCAGAAATTGTGGATCCTTCAACTTGGTGACTGTGTCTACGACCATCTACTGTCACATCAATAGGCAAAGCTCCTGATGTATTCATAGCTAATATTCTTTTTTCGCTTGAAGATACACTAAATAAAATCCAACCATTTATTTCATATTTTTTTCATCAGCGCCAAACCTATTCACTTATTTTTAACTCTGTCCATTTTTTGCGTTTCTTGGCAGTATAATTTTCTTAATTTCAATACACTAATGATTTATGCAATATAGTTAAGATGTATAATTGGCTAGACAAGTTATAAATCAATCGATGACGCCGTATTATGGAAGTAATATTTTACAGCATAGTATGTTTGCATTAGCAACACACTCCCCATAATATCTCGGAAGTTTTGTTCGATACTTAGTTCATAAAATTTTTTATTGTTAGAAATAAAACTACAATTTTACGCGGAGAATGTCATATGAAACATACCCAAATACAAAAATATTCATAACATTGGTGTGTTAATACTATATCGTATAAACAAAATACAATTTACTTTTATTTAACTAAATCACATCTTAAAGATGACCTCGAACGCAAAATGTAATAGCGACACAGTAATGGATAAGTGCTTATCAACTGTATGTACTTAACCTTTCATAAGTGTTTAAATTCGATGATGCCACATATTTTAAAGATTGAACATTATAGAGTCACGATTTTGCTTAATCAACCTCGATGATTTTCTGAAACCTTCGAGTACGATCTCTGGATTGTTAAATAAAATATCGCACAACTTAATTTGCAGTTTCTTTCGTTATAAAGAATTTATCTTAAGTTCTTTATTTACTCAGTAATCCCCAATTCAATTACAATGCATTTTAGTAGTTATAATCAAATGTACACACAACCTACTTTACTTAAATGTAATTTCCAACGACTTTACTGATGTTAACGCCAACGATTTCACTTTGTAACTGACTTCACTTGGCAGCTGAGTGTCGCCCTTATATAGCAGTCAGCTGCTCGTAGACGAAAGTATAGAATAATCGAGTTGTTCGCTATCGAAGGTTCTCGTTTTATAGTTTCTAGAATGTACTAGTTATCGGCTTCTCTCTTTCATCTGATATTCGCCTCGCATTTACTTAACACTGCCCTCCACCTAAGTCTGATCGTCCCGATCAGACACATTCGCTGTTCCAAACTCAGCAAGCCTCTCGAGGTGGACCACCTTCATCTTGTTTCTTGGACTCCCAACGGTTTGGATTTGATACACTACGTCGTTTAGTCATTTGACTATCTTGTATGGACTTTCCCAATTACATTGAAGTTTTGGGGACAAACCCCTCTTCCGTTGTGGATTGTACAGCAGCACCAAATCTAAATTTTGGAAACCCTCGGAGTTCATCGCCTTGTCATACCTGGCCTTCATTTTGTCACTC